GGGGGGCAGGGAGAGGGATGACAGCAAAGCCCATGCTACGACTAGTCTTGCCAACGCATTTCTCTGTCATATCGTGGCATTATGAGGGCACCTATAATGATGCCGGTATGAATCCCCTTTTCAAGAAGCAATGAAAATATCAAACGACCTCCTAAGGGAAATTGTCCTGAAATTAATCCATAAACGTTTGGGGGGTTTGATGCATAGTCATTTCACTTTACCACTATTACTTTACTGCACCTATTTCTTTCTGGCTAACTATTCTATTTTGCTGCTACCGTTTTGTGCTAACGCTGTACTTGTATTTCGTTCTGCTACTCTCCAACTAGTGCTACTCTACTTCATTTCACTTGTTTGCTAGAACAGATGTTAATGTCTTTATAGGTGACCCATTAAAGAGTTGAGGATGATAAGTTTTCAGAGCATGGCCAACTCAGATTAACAGCTTAGGATAGGAAACTTGATCTTGTTTCGACGTGATTCCGTCTCGGCGCTTGCTCTCTGGGCAGTTCACGCGTGCCACCAGCGCGAAAGGTCGTTTGATGACAGATTATAATAATAAAACTAATTATAATAATGACACTGACATACTTCAAATTATGTGTGGTATGTTGCTCAGAAACGTCATACGGGTTGGAGTAGTGGTACCTGGCCGTCGATTATGATGATTGAGACTAATTTATTAGTACAAAATAAAAGGTACTGCAAATGCATTCGTCTTGTAGAACGGGACTAATGAGTCATGAGTAACCAGTTTGTCCAAAGTCTGGATTCCATGCCTCGCTGAGTTCTTCCATGCATGGTTGGCAATAAAGGTTTTCACATAATGGGTTAGACTGGCTTGTGATTATTGGATGTTTCGCATTTTATTGATGGTATTTGCACAATCGATCTTCTGTATCATTTCATACGTTGCATGGTTCTTCTTTGAGAAGATAACATTTCCCTTCATTTGGTTGCTTCGTATTTTTTCCGGTGCGTTCGCAAACATCACGTCTGTGGTAAAGACGGCGAGCATATTGATTCGGGGGACAGGCAGAATCGATCCGTGAGTCAGCCGACGAATGTTCGAAATCAATCATTGTAATTGGCAGTCGTTGTTCAGCACGGTCGAACAACGACGTGTTGCACAGATGACGAAGAAAACGTCATTACCTAGTGGCCACGGTAGTGGCAAGACGTGGCTCGGTCGTTCAGCCGTTTCGATCGCTTTTTAAGGCTGGCTGGTTGATGTCTCATACGGATGACGTATGTACTGTCCCCGGGTTGGAGTGACACCACGAACAACACATGATACGGGATTTGTCAGCCATTACGTAGTACACTTCATTGAAACGCGTTCCAGACAAAACGTTTCGTTTTTTTTTCGTTGACTCGATTCGTAGATGGCCATGAACTGTTGGAACAGTCGGCTCCTCCATCATTACCTATGGTCATGATACTTACCTATGGTCCTCGTGAACTGGACCGGACTAGTCGTCGATAGCCGCGTCAGCAAATCAGCATCGACAAAGAAAACGCCCAATAAACTCGACTGCTAGCGTTGATAGATGGTAGGTGCAACTTCTGTTCGTAGCGTAACCACGTGGCCAAACAGCGCTTTTCTTCAACGGCTGATGCCATGACTTAAAAAACGACCGCTTTAAAGGAACTTTTTCTTGATGTACTCCGTTCTGTTACAGTCTCCTCCACATTCCTCGCGCCTTGATCCGATCTTCGGTCGTTCCCTGCAGTTTTACATTGCTTTTTACCTCTTTGTGTGATTCTTCCTTTGATTTCTTATTCTATTACTCGGTAACATAGGTGTTTTCATCGGAGTGCCACTATGTTGATCATATCTTCCCTTTCGTTCAGACCAACAATATTACTATCGATAAATTTTTCGGTTATTCAGTCTACGCTTAGTGTTCCCTTTATGGAAATAAAAGGAATGCTTGTAACCAATGGAATGTCGATCTTCACTTTCATGGTCAGGCCATTTCGGACACATTCGTTTCTTAAAGTTAATGATGGAATGCTGATATCCATTTCCATATTATAAGTCCTGAATCCTTAGTTCTTTTCAAGGCAGAATCAAACGTAACGTATAGACTTCTGTTTCCTTCCAAAGGAGTGGTACTCATTTATTAATTTTGAAATGAAGAAAGACGAGTGACTCCCACCAGGAACCTCTTGGTTCTGCGCTCGACGTTCTACCAACTGAGCTACTTCGATCTCAAATGACTTGTGGTAACTTTCCTGTTCAAGGGAATTCATCGTCAAGAAGCAAATTACTCCTCTGCGGAAATCGAGTCTAGCACATCCGGTGTTCGAAGCCGACTTCTTAATGACTGTGCCTCAATGCTCTTTATGAAGGCATTCCAGTTGCGGTCTTTCTTGGTGATGCCACGCTTCCATCTGGACATTTGGACGTCACGGTTCCTTTGGGCCTAAAACGACATGTTTACACCTGTCATCTTCAAGAAAATTTGAGCAGGTAACTATTACTTGAAAAGTTTAAATCCCACCAAGGCATTCCAGAACGTAAGTCCGCATACTACCTCTAATTGCCATTGCTTAGTCAATATTTTATCCAATATTGAGTAAAGAAGACTTTTTTTCATGCGCTGTACTATCCACAACCAAATCAAGAATAGGTCATATGAATTGTAAAACCCTGGCGACACGAGCCACTGATCAGATATTATCATACGTGGTACAACTTGAAAAAACACTTTCATAAGACAGATCCCATCGACTTCAGGTCTCGCTGTCAAACTTGACAACAGGATGTACCAGATATTTCATGCAGTGCACCAAGAACTTGAGACTTAAATTATTTCACTATACTTGAAATGCGCTGACGATGGTACCATCATTGCAGTTGTTAGAAACCGCAAAGATCTCAAAGAATATAGGAGCGACGTAACATAATTATTAGACTGACCCGGCACATACGGATTCATACGTGTCATTGGCCAAACGTGTCATTCATTCATTCATTGGCCAAACGTGTCATTGTCCCTCAAAACCTCGACCATGGCTTCGTCAACCTTGGTTGTGAAGAGGCTAATCTAACCTAAACATCGGCTACCCGGGTTACAGATGTGAAATACCCTGGTGTGGTAGTTAAGAC